TGGTGTGATATATTAAGTTATAGAGATGTGTGTACCTAATCCTTGTGGTGTGATATATTTAGTTATAGAGATGTTTGTACCTAATCCTTGTGGTGTGATATATTTAGTTATAGAGATGTTTGTACCTAATCCTTGTGGTAAATTTAGTTTTAGAGATGTGTGTACCTAATCCTGAGATGTGTGTGTACCTAATCCTTGTGGTGTGGTATATTTAGTTATAGAGATGTGTGTACCTAATCCTTGTGGTGTGATATATTTAGTTATAGAGATGTGTGTACCTAATCCTTGTGGTATATTTAGTTATAGAGATGTGTGTACCTAATCCTTGTGGTGTGGTATATTTAGTTATAGAGATGTGTGTACCTAATCCTTGTGGTATATTTAGTTATAGAGATGTGTGTACCTAATCCTTGTGGTATATTTAGTTATAGAGATGTGTGTACCTAATCCTTGTGGTGTGGTATATTTAGTTATAGAGATGTGTGTACCTAATCCTTGTGGTGTGGTATATTTAGTTATAGAGATGTGTGTACCTAATCCTTGTGGTGTGATATATTTAGTTATAGAGATGTGTGTACCTAATCCTTGTGGTGTGTTATATTTAGTTATAGAGATGTGTGTACCTAATCCTTGTGGTGTGGTATATTTAGTTATAGAGATGTGTGTACCTAATCCTTGTGGTGTGATATATTTAGTTATATAGATGTGTGTACCTAATCCTTGTGGTGTGGTATATATTTAGTTATAGAGATGTGTGTACCTAATCCTTGTGGTGTGATATATTTAGTTATAGAGATGTGTGTACCTAATCCTTGTGGTGTGGTATATTTAGTTATAGAGATGTGTGTACCTAATCCTTGTGGTATATTTAGTTATAGAGATGTGTGTACCTAATCCTTGTGGTGTGGTATATTTAGTTATAGATATATTTGATATATTTAGTGTGTGTATAGAGATGTGTGTACCTAATCCTTGTGGTGTGATATATTTAGTTATAGAGATGTGTGTACCTAATCCTTGTGGTGTGATATATTTAGTTATAGAGATGTGTGTACCTAATCCTTGTGGTATATTTAGTTATAGAGATGTGTGTACCTAATCCTTGTGGTATATTTAGTTATAGAGATGTGTGTACCTAATCCTTGTGGTGTGATATATTTAGTTATAGAGATGTGTGTACCTAATCCTTGTGGTGTGATATATTTAGTTATAGAGATGTGTGTACCTAATCCTTGTGGTGTGGTATATTTAGTTATAGAGATGTGTGTACCTAATCCTTGTGGTGTGTTTTATTTAGTTTTAGAGATGTGTGTACCTAATCCTTGTGGTATATTTAGTTATAGAGATGTGTGTACCTAATCCTTGTGGTGTGGTATATTTAGTTATAGAGATGTGTGTACCTAATCCTTGTGGTGTGATATATTTAGTTATAGAGATGTGTGTACCTAATCCTTGTGGTGTGTGTATATATTTAGTTATAGAGATGTGTGTACCTAATCCTTGTGGTGTGATATATTTGTGGTGTGGTATATTTAGTTATAGAGATGTGTGTACCTAATCCTTGTGGTGTGTGTATATTTATTTAGTATAGAGATGTGTGTACCTAATCCTTGTTATAGAGATGTGTGTACCTAATCCTTGTGGTGTGGTATATTTAGTTATAGAGATGTGTGTACCTAATCCTTGTGGTATATTTAGTTATAGAGATGTGTGTACCTAATCCTTGTGGTATATTTAGTTATAGAGATGTGTGTACCTAATCCTTGTGGTGTGATATATTTAGTTATAGAGATGTGTGTACCTAATCCTTGTGGTATATTTAGTTATAGAGATGTGTGTACCTAATCCTTGTGGTGTGGTATATTTAGTTATAGAGATGTGTGTACCTAATCCTTGTGGTGTGATATATTTAGTTATAGAGATGTGTGTACCTAATCCTTGTGGTGTGATATATTTAGTTATAGAGATGTGTGTACCTAATCCTTGTGGTATATTTAGTTATAGAGATGTGTGTACCTAATCCTTGTGGTGTGGTATATTTAGTTATAGAGATGTGTGTACCTAATCCTTGTGGTGTGATATATTTAGTTATAGAGATGTGTGTACCTAATCCTTGTGGTATATTTAGTTATAGAGATGTGTGTACCTAATCCTTGTGGTGTGGTATATTTAGTTATAGAGATGTGTGTACCTAATCCTTGTGGTATATTTAGTTATAGAGATGTGTGTACCTAATCCTTGTGGTATATTTAGTTATAGAGATGTGTGTACCTAATCCTTGTGGTGTGGTATATTTAGTTATAGAGATGTGTGTACCTAATCCTTGTGGTGTGGTATATTTAGTTATAGAGATGTTTGTACCTAATCCTTGTGGTAAATTTAGTTATAGAGATGTGTGTACCTAATCCTTGTGGTGTGATATATTTAGTTATAGAGATGTTTGTACCTAATCCTTGTGGTATATTTAGTTATAGAGATGTGTGTACCTAATCCTTGTGGTGTGGTATATTTAGTTATAGAGATGTGTGTACCTAATCCGTGTGATATATTTAGTTATAGAGATGTGTGTACCTAATCCTTGTGGTGTGGTATATTTATTTATAGAGATGTGTGTACCTAATCCTTGTGGTGTGGTATATTTAGTTATAGAGATGTGTGTACCTAATCCGTGTGATATATTTAGTTATAGAGATGTGTGTACCTAATCCTTGTGGTGTGGTATATTTAGTTATAGAGATGTGTGTACCTAATCCGTGTGATATATTTAGTTATAGAGATGTGTGTACCTAATCCTTGTGGTGTGGTATATTTAGTTATAGAGATGTGTGTACCTAATCCGTGTGATATATTTAGTTATAGAGATGTGTGTACCTAATCCGTGTGATATATTTAGTTATAGAGATGTGTGTACCTAATCCTTTTGGTGTGATATATTTAGTTATAGAGATGTGTGTACCTAATCCTTGTGGTGTGATATATTTAGTTATAGAGATGTGTGTACCTAATCCTTGTGGTATATTTAGTTAAAGAGATGTGTGTACCTAATCCTTGTGGTATATTTAGTTATAGAGATGTGTGTACCTAATCCTTGTGGTGTGATATATTTAGTTATAGAGATGTGTGTACCTAATCCTTGTGGTGTGATATATTTAGTTATAGAGATGTGTGTACCTAATCCTTGTGGTGTGGTATATTTAGTTATAGAGATGTGTGTACCTAATCCTTGTGGTATATTTAGTTATAGAGATGTGTGTACCTAATCCTTGTGGTGTGATATATTTAGTTATAGAGATGTGTGTACCTAATCCTTGTGGTATATTTAGTTATAGAGATGTGTGTACCTAATCCTTGTGGTGTGGTATATTTAGTTATAGAGATGTGTGTACCTAATCCTTGTGGTGTGATATATTTAGTTATAGAGATGTGTGTACCTAATCCTTGTGGTGTGATATATTTAGTTATAGAGATGTGTGTACCTATTCCTTGTGGTATATTTAGTTATAGAGATGTGTGTACCTAATCCTTGTGGTGTGGTATATTTAGTTATAGAGATGTGTGTACCTAATCCTTGTGGTGTGATATATTTAGTTATAGAGATGTGTGTACCTAATCCTTGTGGTATATTTAGTTATAGAGATGTGTGTACCTAATCCTTGTGTGTGTAATCCTGGTGTGGTATATTTAGTTATAGAGATGTGTGTACCTAATCCTTGTGGTATATTTAGTTATAGAGATGTGTGTACCTAATCCTTGTGGTATATTTAGTTATAGAGATGTGTGTACCTAATCCTTGTGGTGTGGTATATTTAGTTATAGAGATGTGTGTACCTAATCCTTGTGGTGTGGTATATTTAGTTATAGAGATGTGTGTACCTAATCCTTGTGGTGTGATATATTTAGTTATAGAGATGTGTGTACCTAATCCTTGTGGTGTGGTATATTTAGTTATAGAGATGTGTGTACCTAATCCTTGTGATATATTTAGTTATAGAGATGTGTGTACCTAATCCTTGTGGTGTGGTATATTTAGTTATAGAGATGTGTGTACCTAATCCTTGTGGTATATTTAGTTATAGAGATGTGTGTACCTAATCCTTGTGGTGTGGTATATTTAGTTATAGAGATGTGTGTACCTAATCCTTGTGGTGTGATATATTTAGTTATAGAGATGTGTGTACCTAATCCTTGTGATATATTTAGTTATAGAGATGTGTGTACCTAATCCTTGTGGTGTGGTATATTTAGTTATAGAGATGTGTGTACCTAATCCTTGTGGTGTGATATATTTAGTTATAGAGATGTGTGTACCTAATCCTTGTGGTGTGGTATATTTAGTTATAGAGATGTGTGTACCTAATCCTTGTGATATATTTAGTTATAGAGATGTGTGTACCTAATCCTTGTGGTATATTTAGTTATAGAGATGTGTGTACCTAATCCTTGTGGTGTGGTATATTTAGTTATAGAGATGTGTGTACCTAATCCTTGTGTTGTGATATATTTAGTTATAGAGATATGTGTACCTAATCCTTGTGGTGTGATATATTTAGTTATAGAGATGTGTGTACCTAATCCTTGTGGTGAGAGACGTTCCTGTTCAAGCCACTGTGTGTGTCATGGAAATCTGCTGGGAGGAAACTGCGATCATCGTAGGTTTTAGATATAAGCTGAAAGTTTAAATGTGTCAGTTTGTAAGATCGTTTTCAAACTACGTATTTTTAGGACTGTTTGTCCAGTACTTTATACAAATATTTAGATGTCTTTCCAGTCTGTATGGAATCAATTCCGTAATCTTTTTGATATTTTGAAGTTGGCATTGACGTTGGACTTCTGTTACTATAAATAGAAGATCCCTTGTAATAATATTATCATTGACTACCCAGCAAGACAAGACAGTTTTCGTTCATTACGAATGAAATACGTTATAAAAGTTATATTTAATTATTTGCGAATTTTAAATAAATCAATGTCTATAAAATGATTGACATATCCTTTCCTAGATACCTGCCAACCTTTTGACTGTAATAAAGTCTGCACACATGAGTGTGTATGTATTGATGATTACTTTGGATCTGAATGCGAAGATGGTAAGTAATGTCCTAACTATGTATTTCTATACATTGTGACGTCAGTGTTGGAGAAACAGTCCTATCTTCCGCATTTTTGGTCAGTAAATTTTGATTTGAAAAATATTTCTTACGTTTATTGCGAATTGAAAATACAAGGCAAATTTTCCCGAACATTTTGGATTGATGACGTCGTGTGCACGGTAGACGTCTATTCGCGGGTGGGTGTATACCACATAAATGTCCATAAAGAACGAGAGATTTAACACGAATTGCAATACAAGGATAACTGATGTCCAAAACCATATGCATGTTCCATCACTTTTACGTAATTCGCTGTAAATACTTTATTTGGCAATTAAAATATATCTGATGCTAGTCAAACAGCCTCGTGGCATGTTTCTCGTGTAATGAAATCTTGGTAGACAAAAATGAAATTTGCTAATTTTAACAACATATTTTTAAAATGAGCTGGTAACCATGGCAACAACCGTGAATCAGTAAATGTTTGGCATATACATAAGCCTTAGGTATCTACCTCAGTTGTTCACAATACTATGAAGTTGGGAAATATTTTCTATTTCAAATAGAGTCACTTCCAATATCGAAAACATTTGCTAATGATACGATTTTTTTCAAATATTCAAAATTGTTGTTGCTATGGTAACATCATTATCGGTAAAACATGATTTTGGGATATATGTATTCCCATATTTCTGGTTATATTGGAGTTGCTTACCAGAAAATTTGCTTGAAAAGGGTGAAGATTCATGTTGAAGCAAAATGACAGATTACAAATTCCTGGGTTTTAGGGAGTTCATAAATGCTGCAGTAGGATTCTATGTATTTTGTCACAGTGTATTAACAATATTTGAACTACTGTGTCATTGTGTAAGTTTTGCTTCTTTATAAGGATTACGAAGAAAAAAAAAAGAAGTTTTTTGCAACTGCTTTTCCAGATTTCTCAAAAATTGTTGTATCATTCGACGTTGTCATGGTGATAAAATATGTCTATGTCTTTTGAAGTAAATGGTGGATTTTCCGAATGGGGTTCATATGGAAGTTGTTCAAGAACATGCGGAACCGGAAGTAAGACCAGAACGAGGGCATGTGATAACCCGACACCTGTTGGGACCGGATCTGATTGTGCTGGAAACACTTCAGAGACCGTTCCATGTAGTACTGACCCTTGTCCAAGTATGTTGATTTTGTTTTTCGAATTCTAGATTACTAACCTAACAATTTTTTTCAATCAAGGACTAAAACTTTGTACGAAGATAGGACTATCAACAAATCATATCGTTGTGTTAAGTTAAATTGAATCCCACAACGGGTTTGAACTGGTAACTCACAATTATATCTTATCTGATGATAACGTTTCACTTTAATCAATAAATCTGTCTTAATTTACTAACAAATGATATCGGAATCATACCTTGTAATTTACTTCTATCTTTGTCAATAACGTTCTGAGTTACTCCCCTTTAAGGTCAAGAATGAAGCACTATTATTTTTTATGAATATTGTGTTAAAAGTCTAACGTGAGATGTTACTCAATTGTGTGTCTTCAGTACAATCTCTAGTAGTCGATTGTGTGTCTTCGGTACAATCTCTTGTAGTGAATCATGTGTCTTCGGTACAATCTCTTGTAGTGAATCATGTGTCTTCGGTACAATCTCTTGTAGTGAATCGTGTGTCTTCGGTACAATCTCTTGTAGTCAGTCGTGTGTCTTCGGTACAATCTCTTGTAGTGAATCATGTGTCTTCGGTACAATCTCTTGTAGTGAATCATGTGTCTTCGGTACAATCTCTAGTAGTCAATCGTGTGTTTTCGGTACAATCTCTTGTAGTCAATCGTGTGTCTTCGGTACAAGCTCTTGTAGTGAATGTGTCTTCAGTACAATCTCTTGTAGTCAGTCGTGTGTCTTCGGTACAATCTCTTGTAGTCAATCGTGTGTCTTCGGTACAATCTCTTGTAGTGAATCGTGTGTCTTCGGTACAATCTCTTGTAGTGAATAGTGTGTCTTCGGTACAATCTCTTGTAGTCAATCGTGTGTCGGTACAATCTCTTGTAGTCAGTCGTGTGTCTTCGGTACAATCTCTTGTAGTCAATCGTGTGTCTTCGGTACAATCTCTTGTAGTGAATCGTGTGTCTTCGGTACAATCTCTTGTAGTGAATCGTGTGTCTTCGGTACAATCTCTTGTAGTCAATCGTGTGTCGGTACAATCTCTTGTAGTGAATCGTCTGTCTTCGGTACAATCTCTTGTAGTCAATCGTGTGTCTTCGGTACAATCTCTTGTAGTCGATGGAGGTTGGTCCGAGTGGAATGAATGGGGATCCTGTTCTCAAACCTGCGGAAGTGGAACTCAGCAGAAAACTAGAACGTGTTCCAATCCCTTACGACAACATGGTGGCGCTGACTGTGAGAATAATCCGTCTACAGCTATAGCCAACCAGGCCTGTAACACAGCTGATTGTCCACGTAAGGCATTTGTCGGGATTTATCATCAGAAAAGGTTGATTTTCATACCACCGAAAATATTTGGTGGATATATATCTACATAAGAAAGTACAGACATCGGTTAACGAATACTTGATAGTAATCACATTATTTTTCGTTAATATCCTAATTATGATATATTCCCTCCAAATGAAGGTATACATATTGCATTGTCACTAGCAGTTGTGACTCCGGGCTTTGTATAGTACTATTTGACTGGGGTTTCCGTGACCTTTACTTTCATGAGTTCCAAATTTTGACTAAATCTTCTGAATAGTAACAGATCTACCAATGAAACTTGAAACATACTTGTACACTGTAAGAAAGTAAGAAAAGTTAAATATTGGCATATAGAAATGTACCTGTTAATTAATTAATTATCATCTGTAAAATTTCACGTGTCTAAGATATTTCGCTTTAATAACTTATTGAAATTGAGAACAAGATGAAAAAAGAACAAAAATGCCTTCATATCATATTTAAAATATTTGTCAAGAAAAAATGTTCTAAATTAATTATGTATCCTTATTTCAGCTGTCTGTCCTAACGGTTCTACGCAATTTAGCTGTACATGCCGAAATCATGTAATCAACATGACGTCAGAGAACTTGTCGGAAGTTATTGCTGCACTGAAGGAAGAATTGAAAGTTGACAAAACCAAAACAAGTCGTAAGTACAGAAGTTTATTTTAAATCATCCTGTATGTTGTTTTGGTGTTAAAGTAAATGGCGTGTTCTGTTTATGATTTATCCAAGTATTTTTTGCATTTTTCACATGTGTAATTTACTTATTTTGACGTCACTTTCGATAATGAAATGACGTCACACATCCGGAGATGACATTGTGACATAAGAACTACATATAAAGAGCGGGCATGTCTCGCCAGAGGCTCGCGAAAATGCAAAATTCAGAAAATTTCATATAAGATTCCATATACATGTATCATACATGTATACATGATGTATGCATTGTTTCATAACTATATTTAGCGCTAAACTAATTTCAGTATCAAATATCACGTTAAATTATCTACAGTATAAGTATTATATATCTATATATCTTATTTGAACAGTGAGTGTACGTCAGAAGACAAGTGTCGAAGACTCGCGGACATCGGCAAAGACGATTGGGGCTGTGGGAGCTGTGATGTTGGCTGTTCCATTTGTCTTAATCATTTTGTCAGATCTGAATATTGTCTATAAATATCTCAGCAAGAATTCCGCAAAGAGACACACATCACATCAAGTATGAAAACCCCCTCCCCTCCGCCCTTCCTTCCCCAGCCCCCCCCCCCCCTCTCTCTCTCTCCCTCTCTCTCTCTCTCCTGTATATATAGATATGTATGTATGTAACATGCCATCTTGTAAATATGTGTATTGTTTTATTTTTCGGGTAAGGGCTTAATTTATATTTTATTCATTTTCACATTTTCAAAACAAAACACATTTACATAAGACATGGAACAAATGGAGAAGAACATGTTGTACAACATAACAACAGCACACTAATTACACCGACAGGTACAATAGACAAAATAAGTCTAGGTTCTGATAATGTAAAGAATATATAATACATAGAGAATACATGTGTTAAAAGACAAAGGCATACTTTTGTACCAAGGTAGATTAATAGAATGAATATTAGACAAAAGTAAATCACACGAATACCAACTATTAACTTTAATCTAACCACTGTTTGGTTGGTGCTCTTAATTGAGCTTTATTTTTTAATTTACATTTAGATAAAAGAATTTGGCGTGCTTTTAACTCAACTTTAATGTGACTTTTAACACTATTAGAATTAAGTTGTTGTTCAAGACATCTTGACTTATATATGTAATGTTTTATAATAAGTAATATCAGGTTATCAATGTCAAATTTATTGTGTTTATTTAAAGTTTTACCTAAAATGAATTCTTTTTTATCAAATGTTAGACCAAGATTTTTAGCTATAATGTTAATTCTTAAATTTTCAATTAGATTTGACACAAGATCACAGTCCCATAATATATGGATAATAGCTTGTGGATGAAGTTTGCAAAAAGAACATTGGTTATTATCAGTTTTTCCAATTTTGAATAAGAATGTATTTGTAACAAGGTTTCTATGATTAATTCTATACTGCAGCCATTGAAGTTTGGAGTTTGATGTTGTGTTAAAAGGAGCTGAATAAATGTTGTTCCATGTATCTTCTCTCAAATTTAATGAAGTGTTCCATTTTATTTCAGATTTTGGTCTAGTAGAATTTTTACTGCTTGTTTTGTAAATTTCTTGAGCTCCCTTTTTGTCTTTCAAAATAAGTTTTAAGTTAATGGGAATACTAGGTAAAACAGTTCTTTTTTCTAAGTCGAATACGTTTTGGTTCCTCAAGATAAAATGATAGACAGCTCTTTTAATACTTTGATAAGTTAAGAAATTAGTATGAATATTACATTTTTCTCTTAATTCTTCAAGATTATAAAATGTTTTATCCTCTTTAGTTAAGTCATTAATAGTATGAATCCCATTATTATACCAAACCCTATTGAGGACATGTTTTCTATCAACTTTTATTTCACTATTAAACCAAATTGGATTTTCTATTATATGTGTTTTATAAATTTTGCTTGCTAAAATAGTGCTATACCACGCTTCTAGGACGTCTTTCCAGAATTTGTTTTCATACTGTTTTGACAGCTCTTTCACCTTTTCTATTCCCATATTAGCTAACCTATGCTTATCAAAAAGGAATCTATAAAAAATTCCCAATTTCCAGAATGGTTATATATCCTTCTGATCCAGGTTACTTTCAAAGCAGTAATGTATGATTTAATATGTATCATTTTTAGCCCCCCTTCCAAATAGTTTTTAATTATAACATCTCATAACATAAAATAAAGTATTGATTTTTTCATATACAAGTCATCAGGATTGGGAAGAGATAGAAAAAGATGATTGAACTGAGATATCAATAAAGTTTTTATAACAGTAATTCTACCAATTGGTGTAAGTATTCGTTTTCGCCACACTGATATTAACGATTTAAGCTTCGCAAGTTTTTTGTCAAAATTAAGTTTAGTAATTTTATGTAAATCTACATCATATTCTATGCCCAAAAGATTAAAGTTAGTACACCCCCATTTTAAGTTTAAATTGGTATTATAAGTATCTTCACTGTATTTTTTGCTGCCATTCATACTACCTGAGTCTTGGAGAAGTTCATTTTTAAACCTGAAATATTTGCAAAGAATGTAAGACTGTTTAATATTTCATCTAAAGACTTTTTGGATCCATCCAATATAACAGAAGTGTCATCAGCAAACTGTGATAGAAGTACTTCTTTTTCTCGTACAGTAATTCCTTTGATGTTAGAGTTATTTCTTACAATTATTGACTAAATCTCTGCAGACAAAATAAAAATATAAGATGAAACCGGATCTCCCTGACGACAACCGCATTCAATGTTGAAGAAATTTGACAAATTCCCCCTATCTTTATTGCTGATTTAGTATTATTCTGAAAAAGTTTAATCCATTTAATCATGTTAGGGCCAAATTTTAAAAAATTCAAAGTCTTTGTAATGAAATTCCAGGATATAGAGTCAAACGCTTTTTCGAAATCAATTAAAAGTAAAAGGCCAGGAATATTGTTGTCTTCTGTGTATTTCATTACATCATAAATCAACCGTGTATTTTCACCAATATATCTGCCAGGAATAAAACCGGTTTGGTTATTACTTACTAATTTACTTATAACAGTTTTGAATCTCTCAGCAATTGTACCAGAAGCAAGTTTGTAGATAGTGTTCAATAAAGTTATAGGTCGCCAGTTAGTTAATTTATTACGTGGTTTATTACCTTTAGGAATACAAGTTATTATACCTTGTTTCTGTGTTATTTAAAAGTTCTGAAATACTGAAGCTATAGTTAAGTGATCTTAAACTAAAGTGCCCTAACTTTTGCCAAAACATTTTTAAAAACTCAACAATGAAACCATCAGAACCTGGGCTTTTATTATTTTTCATTTTCAAAAGAGTATTTGATAATTTCGATGGATATTCCTGGGTGAATCCGGTAAATTGAACTAATTGTACATACAGTTTGTCGGTCCACGATTTCTGAATTCTGTCATCATAATTACACACGTCTAGTACGTTTTGGTTGACCTGGGTTAGGTCGTCCTTTATGACAGTACGAGTACCGTTCAGTTTGTATCGGTTGGCGATGCATTCCATTTTTTTTCTCCTACACATGAATTTAACTATCACAGGTCTGTTTTTTTATTGTTAAAGCGACCTAAGCGATGTGCGATGTCAATGTCACTATTCGCGATTTCCATTTCGAGTTTAGTTTTTAGAAGATCACACACTTTTTCACATGTGTTTTCAACTTTTTCCTTCTCGTCATCGTGTAGCCCAAAGATACGGATGCTGGATTTTCTGGTGTATTGTTCAAGTTCGTTAAGACCATACTCAGCCTTTTCCGCGGTATATCCCACTTCTGTAACGATATCATCCATTCTGTTCACTTTGCTTTCCAATGAAATGACTTTTTTCATGTCGTCGTTTGTAATCTCAAGGTCAAATATTCTAGTTTCTAGTATGTCAACTTTCTTGTTCAACTTATCGACAACTTCCGATGTTATTGTTGTCGTTCCTGGCCGATGTGGCGTTTACGAGATCTGATTCTGTGGCCATTTTACTAAAGTTTTCATTTAAGCTCTCCACGGTTACCATGCCAGATAACTTTTGATCTATACAGTTCATTTTGGATTCAAGATTGGTGATTGCTCTCATCATTCCTTCGCCAAGCTTTCTAAGTTGTGTTTTATCGAATTTGAAGGCTGTAAGGGTAGGTTGATTGGTATTAACAATAGTTTTTGCTTTTTTGACCGTCTTTTTGGTGCTTTTCTTTGGAGCATCAGTATCACAAAAACTCATGTCAGAGCTTGAAGTAGATACAATTTTACGTTTTTCTGCCATTTCCATTGAACTAATTGTTCACTCTAAATATTACCGTCAGATATAGAGCTGAGCGTATAGGTACATGTAACTTATACATATCATAGTGTACAGGTAACGTATATCGTATACACACTTATATGTATTCGCGTGATGTAAGGTGAGCACTGTTCGATACAACGGAATGTCAATAAAGTCTGAATAACTCACATTTTAGGTGGGTTTCTAGCAAACAACAGCCTCTCCGGGAATCACATAACTGTTATGTTACGGATCAGGTGTAGTAGGCTGGTGAAATAATTTTCACCAGAATTGTTGTAGAATCGAAGATTTTCAGGAGCGATACAAATTCCGGCCACCTGCCTTGACCGGTCACGTGATCCGGGTAAGGGCTTAATATAAGTTAACAAACTTGTGCCCAATCCCATTTGTACTAATTTGACAAAATAAATTTGTTTAAATCAAAAGTCCTAGAAAGACGAAATTTCAATATAGGCCCTATCTTATTTATTTATTTTTTTGACAGTTGATATTCACTCGTGTGTCTTTTATTACACTTTCTCTTAAATGTATTGAAATCATCAGAGTTTATTAATTATTTCTAATTATTTTATTAACTTAGTTATGTTTGAGGAATCATGACATCCAATGCGATCCGTTTTGTTCTGTTATACTCTCGGTTTCTATTTATTTTATAACGAAGTTCCAATGCTTATTGTTAAAGTCCGGACAACTTGTTTTAGCGTATCACCAGCATTTATCATTTAAGGACGAGTCAGGTTTGTGTGATGGAGAAAAGCCGGGGTGCCCGTAGAAACCACCGACCAACGGCTAGTACCTGGAGACTGCCACATTATGATAATGTTCACATATTGGTATTTTGTAGCAGTTGTTTCCTGTTAGTTAGTACTATTTTAACATATCTTGAATGCAAATATCTTTAATATCAACTTCGATATATATTTGTATGTATACTGGGTGTATGTATAAGGAAACGTACAATAGTAGGGATTCGAGGTGTTTTTTTAATGTTTTATATAATGTATGATAGAACTATATTAGAAATAGAGGATTAAAATGTATATAAAAACCAAACAAAAATAAGCCAAGTGTTTAACATTAAGGCTGTCCGACCGTCAGAGTTTTGAATTACATTGTACTGTGTCTCTCTATAAGTAAACACGCGCACTTGATGTTTTGCTGATTCGTCATACTCTGTTTATTTCCTTTCTTTGTCATAATAACAGTATGGTCTAATAAGCATTAAAAGTTTCCCGTAACTTGTCCGCCTTGGTGATATGTCTAAGACATTT